TATATCAATTATTTATAACTAAAAATAAAAAAAAAATTATTTATAATTTTGCAAAGTTAAATTTAACTTAAACAAATAACAACTAAATGCATTTCTAATTACTATTATCAAATATTTATAGTATAAGTACATCACAACTAGGTTAGCACCTACTTTTATTATAATTTATAATTTAAGTACATCTCAACTAGGTCTGGCCTGTGAAGGTGCAACCTGCGAAGCCCGCGGGTCACACCTCGGCCTGCGGTCCCGGGTCGATCCGAGCTGGTTTTCACGGGTCTGGCCGGTCTGTCCGTCTTGACACTTCTACCCGAAATGAATTATACTTGGAATATAAATCTACCGTTGGCGTTGAATTCGCTGTCCGTACCCTCCGAGTTTGATATTCCTTTTACTGCCATTTCTTCTTTTATTAGTGTTAATTTATTTTGTGGCACGCAGGTGTGAGTGCATTTGAATATGTGGTTTAGTTTATTTTATTTAGGGGTGTCTATTCTGCATGAATATGAGATGGGTTTTCGTTTTTTTTTATTTATGTTTATTGTTGTTGTATAAGAACTTTTAGATCTGCTTATTCATGGGATAATTGTTATTTGGATTGATGTTTATAGTTTTGTCTATGTTGATAACTACGGATCATTGATTACAGTTGTTTTAAAAAATATTTAATAATTGAGATTTTAATATTTTTTCGATTACATCTAAATCTTCATTAAATCTATAATTCCCAAAAAGTGATATCTAGACAAACTTTGCAAAAGTTTTCACTTTCCATATATTAATTTTTAGTTTTATACATGGCAAGCGTGTTTATATAGTATTTGACCGTTATTTCTCTTCTTGGCTAAGGTAAAAATTAAGTAACTTTTTACCTTCGAACTTATTTAGATAAGTTATTTTTTTTTAAAGTTTAATTAAAAAGTTACTTAGTTTTAAAGTGAATATTACCTTTATGCCAAAATAATTAAAATTTTATGATTAGTCAAACACGCTCTACATCTTTCCCAGTATATAAGCTCATTTTATCAAGACTCTTTTCATATTTCTGGATAGAGCACTCTCACATTATCGAGTGCTATATTGGACTTGACGGCTTTTGCAGAGGTATCCTATTATCATTATTAGTATTGTCGTCATTTATTGCTGCTTAGTGAGAGAAGTCAAATGTAGTTTTATTTACTTACTC